ATGGCTGCCATTGCTCTGCAAATATCTTCTCTTCCTGTAAAACTCTACCACTCCTCAGGAGAGATGTGACATTTACACTGTATTGACACACGCATATATTTGTCCTAAATTCTCACATCTGTCACACTACTGTGAGACAGATTTCTAAAGAGTATCTAAGATACTACAGTACATTGGGCTTCTCTGAAGGGGGGGGGGCATTGAAGTGAATACTTTTCACAGCATAAATGCCAACAGAGTCTTGCAGCAACGCAGTGTGTCGGAAAGCGAACAATGTTCAGATTGATCCCTTAGTAAGATAAAGTCCTCCTGAGGATCTCTTCACACTTCACTGTGCTGGACAAGTTCTTCAACCTGGTGACTCTTAAAGGTTGATTTTGTGACCGTCTTCATATATGGTTAAAGACACATGCCTTTAAACAGCTTTTATGGTCAAGGATATGATATATGATAGAAAAAAAAAAAAAAAATATATATATATATATATATATATATATATAAAAATTCACTTCAAGACTATAATACGTATACATTGCGGTTTTGAAGTGGTTTGCCGGGGTTATGGCTGCAGCATTATGCCATAACCCCAGTATAAAAAATTTTCCTCAGCCACTTCTCTTTCTGATAAGAGCGATCTAAGCGGCTGACTAGCCGCTGGATCGCTTTTAGAAGTAGCCAGAGGGGTTCACAGTGTTGAAGAAAAAAGTAAGTGAACCTTTGGGGTTAATAGCTAGTAAAACCTCCTTTGGCAGCAATGACTTCAAGTACGCACTTTTGGTAGCTCTGGATCAGACCTGCACAACATTCAGGAGGAATTTTTTACTATTCTTCTTTATAAAACTGCTTTGGCTCAGACACATTTGTAGGATGTCTGGTGTGAACAGACTCTCTTCAGGTCAGTTTCACAGCATTTCTATTAGGTGACTGGGCCAATCCAAAAGACGCATTTTCTTTTTCTGAAGCCAGGCTGTGGCAGATTTACTTTCATGGTTAGGGTCAATGTCCTGCTGCACCACCCAGCTTCTATTAAGTTTCAGCTGGCGGAGAGCCACCCTGTCATTATCCTGTAGAATATTTTGGCAAACTTGGGATTTCACTTTCCCCTTGATGGCAAGTGGTCTAGGCCCTGAGGCCGCAAAACACAAGCCCAAATCATGACGTTCCCTCTACCGTACTTCACCATTGGGATGATATTCTGATGTTGGTGAGCTGTGCCCTTTTTGTACCATACATAGTGTGAGTATTCTTGAACAATTCAACTTTTGTTTCATCAGTCGACAAAACATTTTCCCTGTAGAATTGCGGTTTGCCAAGGTGCTGTTTAGCAAACTTCAGGCACGCAGCAATGTTTTTTTTTTTTTTTTTTTTTTGTGGACAGCAGTAGCTTCCTCCGTGGTGTTCTGCCATGGACATCCTGCCTGTACAAAGACTTACTAATGGTAGACTCATGAACAGGGATGTTTGCCAGTTCCATTGTTGTCTTCAAGCCTTTAGCTGTAACTCATTGGCTTTTCTTTACCTCATTGAGGATTCTGCATTGTGCCTTGAACACTTTTAGATTGCTTTGTATCCCTTTCTAGCCTCATGCAGATCAGCTACTCTTGATCATATGTCTTCAAAGAGCTCCTTTTTGCGAGGCATGGTTCACAACAGCTGATGCTTCTTATAAACAACAATCTTAAAATGTTTAAGTGTCTTTTATCAATCAAAGTAGCTTTAAACCACGCTTCCAAACTCATTCCATGAATTGGACTTCAGGCGGGCAAACTACTGACTCCAATGAGCTTTCATTGAAAAGGTTAATTTATGGGTTCACATACTTTTTCCTCCAGCACTGTGACTTAATGGATGTGTTCAATAAAGAAAAAAGAAATTACAATTGTTTGTGTATTATCATCTTAAAGTGGTTCTAAAGACTCAAAGTTTTTTACCTTAAAGCGGAGTTCTAGTCACACTCTAAAAAAATAAAAAGTCGGCAGCTACAGAAACTGTAGATGCTGACTTTTAAAAACCAGCCGCTCACTTGTCCCATGATCCCGCGGTGTCCTCCCCGCAGCCCGTTTTACCGTTTGTCCGGTGTTCCCCGCGGTGGCATCATCAGTGTGGGCACCCGGCTGTGAGAGCTTGCGGCTTCACAGCCGAGTGCCCACTGCGCATGTGCGAGTAGCGCTGCGCTTTTTGAATGGTTCCGTAATCTTCTGGGACCTGTCACGTGTCCCAGAAGACTACAGGGAGGGAGGGGAGGAACAACTTCCACTTCCGATCGCAGTGGGAATGGGTACCTGTCAACTTCGGGTACCTGCTCCCCAAAGGTGCCGATCCTTAATGCGGAGTGGGGGATTAGTTTTTAAAATGGAACTTCCCCTTTTGGGTGGAACTCCACTTTAATGCATTCTATGCATTAACCTCTTGGCGCCGGGCGAACGCAAATGTGCGGCCTTCCGGCATCTGGGCCTAGACGCAGAGCGGCTGCAGATTTGCATTCTATTAAAAAAAAAAAACGTGCTGAGAGCACGCGCCCTGCGCACTCCCAGCACACACGTTCGCTGCTCACGGAAAGGTCTCGATCTCCTCTTTCGATCGGGACCTTTCTCGATCATGTGACTGCCGTGACAGCGAATCACGGCGGTCACATGACCCTCAAACCCCGCCCCACCTTCTGGCTTCTGGAATCCTTAAAGGGCCAGGAGGCACCGGCGCCAAGGTGTTAAGGTAACGAACACTCTGAGTGTAGCTCCCTCCCCTACCTAAGCGCCATCTTGATTGTGCACGAGAGCAGTGGCTCTCCTGGGTCTCTCTCCTCATTGGCTCATACAGTAGTGGAAGCCATTGGCTCCTGCTGCTGTCATTCACAGCCAGTGAGCCAATGAGGAGAGAGTGGGGTACAGAGCCGAGCCACACTTTGTGTGTGAATAGACACACAGAATGTGGCTCTGGAGCGAGCCTGCTCGAGTGCCCCTGTAGCAAGAGGCTTGCTATTTGGGGCAGTCGGCAGGTGGGAGGAGCCAGGACCGCAGACGGGAGACCCAAAAAGAAGAGGATCAGGGCTGTTCTGTGCAAAAGTATTGCACAGAGCAGGTAAGTATAACAAGTTTGTTATTTAAAAAGAGTTCTTTCCTTTTAAAATCACTCTAATGCAGGGTGGGCAACTGTGGCCCTCCAGCTGTTGTAGAACTACAAGTCCCATGAGGCATTGCAAAACTGGCAGTTACAAGCATGACTCCCAAAGGCAGAGGCATGATGAGACTTGTAGTTCACCAACAGCTGGAGGGCCACAGTTGGCCACCCCTGCTCTAATGTAGAAGTATGGCCTAAGCTTTTTTGGCCATACTTCTCCTGTGTGTCACAGGAGTGCACTTAGTATTTCCATAACATAAATATCCCCCGTTCTCTTTTTGGAGTTCTAATTATTATAACGAGAAGAACTACTTTTACCAAATTTAAGACACAATAATTAGTGGTATTACACACCAAACCCAAAATTTAATATTGATAGGTACTAATTATTAGATGTGGTGGCTGCATTAGTTTTCTTGTAGTTTTTTTCCCTTCCCTCCCCCCCCTTTATTTCCACCTGCTGATCCTGCCAGTAGCACACCTCCACTCTATGGAGGAACAGCAGAGCCACCCTTGGACAGCAGCATTGTTAGTCTGGGCAGAGGGGAGTGTTGGATATACTAGAAGACGTAGATGGACTCGACTAACAAATTAAAGCAGAAATCCAGCTAACACGTCTAAGTAGTTACTTTTGGGATAAAAGTTTTACACAAATAAACGCTGATCATTGTAAGCATCCCTGCCATTGGTAAATGGTTTGTCTCATTCCTCTATCTGTCACTTTGTCTGGACAGCTTGGTCTGTCAAAAGAAGTTGAAAATAACAGACTTACTGGCCAGATTACAAGGTGAATATAAAGAAAAAAAAGCCTAAAAAACGAATGTGTGGTGAATGCAGGGGGCAGACTGACAACTCAAGGGGCCCCCTGGCAATTGGGGATCATGGGGCCCCTGTGTCCTTGCCCACACTCAAAACACACCCAAAAAAGCCTATAAAAAGGTACCAGGGGCATTTTATGGGGCCCCCTACTGACCCCAGCCCTCGGGCAGTGCCGAGTGCTCGAATGGTTAGTCCGCCCCTGGGTGAATGAGAGGAAGAAGTATATGTCATGCTGGGTGAGAGAAAAAAAAAAACAGGGCGACTCTCTGGCTTTTAGGGTGAGTTGGGAAGAACACCATCTAGCAGCTTACACAATAAAATATTTATTATATTTGGCACATTCATTATACAGCTCTAAGGAAAAGCTTTGGTAGTCCAGTGTGTTTCACTTTTGTCAGAAAGTAGGTTGTAGACTGAAACATTCTAGCACAGCCAATATTCTTTTCGTTCCATGGGATTAAAGCTGAGCTCCAGACAGATATAAAAGGCACAATTAAAATGTTACTAAACCCCGAACCCTTCATTCACTATATCTGGTCTCCCCGGACCCTGCATTCACTATATTTGGTCTCCCCAGGACCCTTCATTCACTATATCTGGTCTCCCCAGGACCCTGCATTCACTATATCCGGTCTCCCCGGACCCTGCATTCACTATATCCGGTCTCCCCGGACCCTGCATTCACTATATCCGGTCTCCCCGGACCCTGCATTCACGGTATCCGGTCTCCCCGGACCCTGCATTCACTGTATCTGGTCTCCCCAGGACCCTGCATTCACTATATCTGGTCTCCTCGGACCCCGCATTCACTATATCTGGTCTCCCCGGACCCTGCATTCACTATATCTGGTCTCCTCGGACCCTGCATTCACTGGATCTGGTCTCCCCGGACCCTGCATTCACTGGATCTGGTCTCCCCGGACCCTGCATTCACTATATCTGGTCTCCCCAGGACCCTGCATTCACTATATCTGGTCTCCCCGGACCCTGCATTCACTATATCTGGTCTCCTCGGACCCTGCATTCACTGTATCTGGTCTCCCCGGACCCTGCATTCACTATATCCACTCTCCCCGGACCCTGCATTCACTATATCCGGTCTCCCCAGGACCCCGCATTCACTATATCTGATCTCCCAGGACCCTGCATTCACTATATCCACTCTCCCCGGACCCTGCATTCACTATATCTGGTCTCCCCAGGACCCCGCATTCACTATATCTGGTCTCCCCGGACCCTGCATTCACTATATCTGGTCTCCCCGGACCCTGCATTCACTATATCTGGTCTCCCCGGACCCTGCATTCCCTATATCTGGTCTCCCCGGACCCTGCATTCACTATATCTGGTCTCCCCGGACCCTGCATTCACTATATCTGGTCTCCCCGGACCCTGCATTCACTATATCTGGTCTCCCCGGACCCTGCATTCACTATATCTGGTCTCCCCGGACCCTGCATTCACTATATCTGGTCTCCCCGGACCCTGCATTCACTGTATCTGATCTCTCCAGGACCCTGCATTCACTATATCTGCTCTCCCCGGACCCTGCATTCACTATATCTGCTCTCCCTGGACCATGCGTTCACTATATCTGGTCTCCCAGGACCCTGCATTCACTATATCTGGTTTGCTCGGACCCTGCATTCACTATATCCGGTCTCCCCCGGACAATGCATTCACTATATCTGGTCTCCCCGGACAATGCATTCACTGTATCTGGTCTCCCCGGACCCTGCATTCACTGGACCCTGCATTCACTGTATCTGGTCTCCCCGGACCCTGCATTCACTGTATCTGGTCTCCCCGGACCCTGCATTCACTGTATCTGGTCTCCCCGGACCCTGCATTCACTGTATCTGGTCTCCCCGGACCCTGCATTCACTGTATCTGGTCTCCCCAGGACCCTGCATTCACTATATCTGGTCTCCCCGGACCCTGCATTCACTATATCTGGTCTCCCCGGACCCTGCATTCACTATATCTGGTCTCCCCCGGACCCTGCATTCACTATATCTGGTCTCCCCGGACCCTGCATTCACTATATCTGGTCTCCCCGGACCCTGCATTCACTATATCTGGTCTCCCCAGGACCCTGCATTCACTATATCTGGTCTCCTCGGACCCTGCATTCACTATATCTGGTCTCCCCGGACCCTGCATTCAGTATATCTGGTCTCCCCGGACCCTGCATTCACTATATCTGGTCTCCCCAGGACCCTGCATTCACTATATCTGGTCTCCCCAGGACCCTGCATTCACTATATCTGGTCTCCTCGGACCCTGCATTCACTATATCTGGTCTCCCCGGACCTTGCAATCACTAAATCTGGTCTCCCCAGGACCCTGCATTCACTATATCTGGTCTCCCCGGACCCTGCATTCACTATATCTGGTCTCCTGGACCCTGCATTCACTATATCTGGTCTCCCCAGGACCCTGCATTCACTATATCTGGTCTCCCTGGACCCTGCATTCACTATATCTGGTCTCCCCGGACCCTGCATTCACTATATCTGGTCTCCCCGGACCCTGCATTCACTATATCTGGTCTCCCAGGACCCTGCATTCACTATATCTGGTCTCCCCGGACCCTTCATTCACTATATCTGGTCTCCCCTGACCCTGCATTCACTATATCTGGTCTCCCCGGACCTTGCAATCACTAAATCTGGTCTCCCCAGGACCCTGCATTCACTATATCTGGTCTCCCCAGGACCCTGCATTCACTATATCTGGTCTCCTCGGACCCTGCATTCACTATATCTGGTCTCCCCGGACCTTGCAATCACTAAATCTGGTCTCCCCAGGACCCTGCATTCACTATATCCGGTCTCCCCGGACCCTGCATTCACTATATCTGGTCTCCTGGACCCCGCATTCACTATATCTGGTCTCCCCAGGACCCCGCATTCACTATATCTGGTCTCCCCGGACCCTGCATTCACTATATCTGGTCTCCCCGGACCCTGCATTCACTACATTTGGTCTCCCAGGACCCTGCATTCACTATATCTGGTCTCCCCGGACCCTGCATTCACTATATCCGGTCTCCCCTGACCCTGCATTCACTATATCTGGTCTCCCCAGGACCCTGCATTCACTATATCTGGTCTCCCCAGGACCCTGCATTCACTATATCTGGTCTCCTCGGACCCCGCATTCACTATATCTGGTCTCCCCGGACCCTGCATTCACTACATCCGGTCTCCCAGGACCCTGCATTCACTATATCTGGTCTCCCCGGACCCTGCATTCACTATATCTGGTCTCCCCGGACCCTGCATTCACTATATCTGGTCTCCCCTGACCCTGCATTCACTATATCTGGTCTCCCCATGACCCTGCATTCACTATATCTGGTCTCCCCATGACCCTGCATTCACTATATCTGGTCTCCCCAGGACCCTGCATTCACTATATCTGGTCTCCTCGGACCCCGCATTCACTATATCTGGTCTCCCCGGACCCTGCATTCACTATATCTGGTCTCCCCGGACCCTGCATTCACTATATCTGGTCTCCCCGGACCCTGCATTCACTATATCTGGTCTCCCCGGACCCTGCATTCACTATATCTGGTCTCCCCGGACCCTGCATTCACTATATCTGGTTTCCCCGGACCCTGCATTCACTATATCTGGTCTCCCAGGACCCTGCATTCACTATATCTGGTCTCCCCGGACCCTGCATTCACTATATCTGGTCTCCCCGGACCCTGCATTCACTGTATCTGATCTCTCCAGGACCCTGCATTCACTATATCTGGTCTCCCTGGACCATGCGTTCACTATATCTGGTCTCCCTGGACCATGCGTTCACTATATCTGGTCTCCCAGGACCCTGCATTCACTATATCTGGTTTGCTCGGACCCTGCATTCACTATATCCAGTCTCCCCGGACAATGCATTCACTATATCCGGTCTCCCCGGACAATGCATTCACTGTATCTGGTCTCCCCCGACCCTGCATTCACTGGACCCTGCATTCACTGTATCTGGTCTCCCCGGACCCTGCATTCACTGTATCTGGTCTCCCCGGACCCTGCATTCACTGTATCTGGTCTCCCCGGACCCTGCATTCACTGTATCTGGTCTCCCCGGACCCTGCATTCACTGTATCTGGTCTCCCCAGGACCCTGCATTCACTATATCTGGTCTCCCCGACCCTGCATTCACTATATCTGGTCTCCCCGGGACCCTGCATTCACTATATCTGGTCTCCCCGGACCCTGCATTCACTATATCTGTCTCCCCGGACCCTGCATTCACTATATCTGGTCTCCCCAGGACCCTGCATTCACTATATCTGGTCTCCTCGGACCCTGCATTCACTATATCTGGTCTCCCCGGACCCTGCATTCACTATATCTGGTCTCCCCGGACCCTGCATTCAGTATATCTGGTCTCCCCGGACCCTGCATTCACTATATCTGGTCTCCCCAGGACCCTGCATTCACTATATCTGGTCTCCCCAGGACCCTGCATTCACTATATCTGGTCTCCCCAGGACCCTGCATTCACTATATCTGGTCTCCTCGGACCCTGCATTCACTATATCTGGTCTCCTCGGACCCTGCATTCACTATATCTGGTCTGCCCGGACCTTGCAATCACTAAATCTGGTCTCCCCAGGACCCTGCATTCACTATATCTGGTCTCCCCGGACCCTGCATTCACTATATCTGGTCTCCCCCGACCCTGCATTCACTATATCTGGTCTCCTGGACCCCGCATTCACTATATCTGGTCTCCCCAGGACCCCGCATTCACTATATCTGGTCTCCCCGGACCCTGCATTCACTATATCTGGTCTCCCCGGACCCTGCATTCACTACATTTGGTCTCCCAGGACCCTGCATTCACTATATCTGGTCTCCCCGGACCCTGCATTCACTATATCCGGTCTCCCCTGACCCTGCATTCACTATATCTGGTCTCCCCAGGACCCTGCATTCACTATATCTGGTCTCCTCGGACCCCGCATTCACTATATCTGGTCTCCCCGGACCCTGCATTCACTACATCCGGTCTCCCAGGACCCTGCATTCACTATATCTGGTCTCCCCGGACCCTGCATTCACTATATCTGGTCTCCCCGGACCCTGCATTCACTATATCTGGTCTCCCCTGACCCTGCATTCACTATATCTGGTCTCCCCAGGACCCTGCATTCACTATATCTGGTCTCCTCGGACCCCGCATTCACTATATCTGGTCTCCCCGGACCCTGCATTCACTATATCTGGTCTCCCCGGACCCTGCATTCACTATATCTGGTCTCCCCGGACCCTGCATTCACTATATCTGGTCTCCTCGGACCCCGCATTCACTATATCTGGTCTCCCCGGACCCCGCATTCACTATATCTGGTCTCCTTGGACCCTGCATTCACTGTATCTGGTCTCCCCGGACCCTGCATTCACTATATCTGGTCTCCTCGGACCCCGCATTCACTATATCTGGTCTCCCCGGACCCCGCATTCACTATATCTGGTCTCCCCGGACCCTGCATTCACTATATCTGGTCTCCTCGGACCCTGCATTCACTGTATCTGGTCTCCCCGGACCCTGCATTCACTATTTCCACTCTCCCCGGACCCTGCATTCACTATATCAGGTCTCCCCAGGACCCTGCATTCACTATATCTGATCTCCCCGGACCCTGCATTCACTATATCTGGTCTCCCTGGACCCCGCATTCACTATATCTGGTCTCCCCGGACCCTGCATTCACTGTATCTGATCTCTCCAGGACCCTGCATTCACTATATCTGGTCTCCCCGGACCCTGCATTCACTATATCTGGTCTCCCTGGACCATGCGTTCACTATATCTGGTCTCCCAGGACCCTGCATTCACTATATCTGGTTTGCTCGGACCCTGCATTCACTATATCCGGTCTCCCCGGACAATGCATTCACTGTATCTGGTCTCCCCGGACCCTGCATTCACTGGACCCTGCATTCACTGTATCTGGTCTCCCCCGGACCCTGCATTCACTGTATCTGGTCTCCCCGGACCCTGCATTCACTGTATCTGGTCTCCCCGGACCCTGCATTCACTGTATCTGGTCTCCCCAGGACCCTGCATTCACTATATCTGGTCTCCCCGGGACCCTGCATTCACTATATCTGGTCTCCCCAGGACCCTGCATTCACTATATCTGGTCTCCCCGGACCCTGCATTCACTATATCTGGTCTCCCCGGACCCTGCATTCACTATATCTGGTCTCCCCGGACCCTGCATTCACTATATCTGGTCTCCCCGGACCCTGCATTCACTATATCTGGTCTCCCCAGGACCCTGCATTCACTATATCTGGTCTCCCCAGGACCCTGCATTCACTATATCTGGTCTCCCAGGACCCTGCATTCACTATATCTGGTCTCCCCAGGACCCTGCATTCACTATATCTGGTCTCCTCGGACCCTGCATTCACTATATCTGGTCTCCCCAGGACCCTGCATTCACTATATCTGGTCTCCCCGGACCCTGCATTCACTATATCCGGTCTCCCCGGACCCTGCATTCACTATATCTGGTCTCCCCAGGACCCTGCATTCACTATATCTGGTCTCCCCCGGACCCTGCACTTACTATATCTGGTCTCCCCGGACCTGCATTCACTATATCTGGTCTCCCCCGGACCCTGCATTCACTATATCTGGTCTCCCCAGGACCCTGCATTCACTATATCTGGTCTCCCCGGACCCTGCACTTACTATATCTGGTCTCCCCAGGACCCTGCATTCACTATATCTGGTCTCCCATATATAGATAGGATTGGATGGACAAAAATACAAGTAAAGCAGTGCTCATATGTGTGTGTTAACGGTTTCAGTTTCAGCTCTATAGTGGGACCCTATCAGACAATGGCGCTATATAAACACTGTATAATAATATCTTAGATTGCCTGGACAGTGGGATTTAATCGTTGCACTGATGGTAAGTCATGGGTAAAGTCAGATCGCTGTTTTTCCTATATGTTAGTATATGAATACAATTTTTTTTTTTTTATTGTCATATTTTTTCAGGTTCAGAAAGAAAACCTCACTTATTAATAAATCAGGAGCAGAATCCTATACAGAAGGTGAGAAGTGATTTGTGGATTAAAGCTGAACTCCGGGGAATTTTTAACTGACCTGGCTGTGGGGCTCCCCATGTACTGCAATGGTTAAATGTTCATTTTTGCCCAGGGTACAATTAAGAAGTGCTGTCACTTACCTTAAGCTTTTTTTTTTTTTTCTTGTGTTTTTGTTTTTTGTTCTTTTTTTAATAAAGTAGGGAAAAGTTAAAGCCCAGTCAGTATGTTTTGTTGCGTCACGTCCTTTATTAGTGATGCAACAGGAAATGAAAGGGAGTGTATGACATGATTCTAAATTCTAACCCTTTCCTACACAAAATTTAAAAAAAAAAAAAAAAAAAAAGGTTTTGGTTTTACATGTACCATACATACAGGCTCTGAATGACAAAATGTTGTGTTCTAATAAATGCATATATTTATAGAGCTGCCTTATAAAAAAAAAATGCATACCTGTTCATCCTTGGAAACTGCATGTAAATTTGTTGTGTACAAATGGGGCAATACTGAATATTCTCTGCAGATTGAGAATTTGTGAATTTTTTATTAAATTCAGATACTTATATAGCGTCATCAATTTACGCAGTGCTTTATTTTTATATATATATATATATATATATATATATATATATATATATATATATATTATATATATATTGTACATTCACATCAGTCCCTAACCCTCAAGGGGTGTACAATCTAAGGTCTCCAACTCACATTCATACACATACTAGGGACAATTTAGACAGGATCCAGTTAACCTACCAGCATGTCTTTGGAGTACCTGGAGGAAACCCACGCAGGCACAGGGAGAACATGCAAACTCCAGGCAGGTGGTGCCGTGGTTGGGAGTTGAACCAGTGACCCTAGTGCTGCCAGGCGTAAGTGCTAACCATTTAGCCACTGTGCTGCCCTTGTGAAATGGTGAAAATACCCCATTATGGCCACTAGATGACACCAACTATCACAGGAAATAAGTACCATCAATTCCATCTAGTGGTTATAGTGTGGTATGTTTCGCATTCAATCTGCAGGGAATATAGCCTGAGAACATTCAATTGTGCCCCATTTATTAATACGCCCCTTAGTGTTCAGTACATGAAATGATTACAAAGTTGGGCTCTAATAACTTTCTTGTTAAAGTAGAACTGAAGGCAAAACTTTTTTCTCATTCTTGATAGAGTAAGGAAGGGTTATAACCCCTTTCATATATCTTCATTTATTCATTGCTCCCATTATGGAGATTTGAGAGGAAATCCTTTCAAAATGAGGAAATCCCTGTGCTCACCAGAGCCAGAACCAGTGTCCCCATTGGAAGATGGAAATCTATTCTTGTTCTGGTGACAACCCAAAGTTTGTGATTTTTCTTTCACTGGCACTCTCATTGATGACGACAAACAGGACAAATATGGTGAATCTCCATAACCTGATAGGTATTCTAATCCACTCTATCCAAAAAAAAAGGGGGGGGGGGGTGAAGGGGGGACAAAAAAAAAAAAAGGTTTTGCCTTTAGTTATGCTAAGCCTGTCTTGCTTGGGTCAGCATGCTGAGACTTGTAGTTCAGCTAGAGAGCATAGCTTGACTGCCATGCAATTATGTCTCAGTTTTGTTACAAATGTTGTCTTTTTGGTGTTGCAGTTGAAATACACGCGGAGGTTTGCTATGCCGAGTGTTTGTTACAGAGAGCGGCTCTGATTTTCCTGCAGGTTTGTGTTTCTCTTCTTTACGGACTCAGGCATAGATGACCTCTTAATGGGAGAGTGTAGTGTCTTTTCTGTAAGTATATACTGTGAATTCATATTTATATCTAATGGCTGTGCATTCAGCCAAAAGGAAAAAAAAAAAGAAATTCCCTCCAAACGTGTCCTTGTGTCTGGGCAGACTTTATGTAATTGAAGGTAAAGCCAACTTTTACACGGAGTTGTCACAGCTGCTATCTAGGGATGGCTAGAGATCTGTGACAGGAGAGCGGGTGCAGTCAGTCTGTATGTACAGGTACTGTTAGATGGGATAGCACAAGGAATGGTAAAAAGTCACTTTAAAGGGTTCGTAAACCCTTGTGGGGAAAAAAAATTTACATGGTTACATATGCCATAATCATTGTTTGCCGTTCCCTTTGTTATCCATCCTGTCAATTCAGAAAAATTAACTATCAGAACTTTGGTAAATTTCATTTATTTCAGGTACTTATATAGCGCTGTCAGTTTACGCAGAGCTTTACATATATATTGTACATTCACATCAGTCCCTAACCCTCAAGGGGTGTACAATCTAAGGTCCCTAACTCACATTCATACATACACATACTAGGGCCAGTTTAAACAAGACCTAATTTAGCTACCAGCATGTCTTTTTGAGTGGGAGGAAACCCCCGCAGGCACAGAGAGAACATGTAAACTCCATGCAGGTAGTGCCGTGTTTGGGATTCGAACCAACAACCCTAGAGCTGCTAACCACTTAGCCACTGTGCTGTCCACCTATTATGTGGCTATCTGCCATGCTGGGTCTTCTGAAGCCACCCTGATATTTGCGCTCCACCTACAAGGGAGTTGAATGACAGGGGCTCAGTTCTATGAAATCTCCATGGATAGTGGTGTCCATTCTACACCAAACATTAATAGGAGTTATACTGTCTCTGCATATACTGGTTGAATTTTCACGTTAGCTGCATACGCCTTGGCTTTATGGGATGTGAAGACTGAACACATGAGGTGGCCTGCTCAGCATGGGTGCCATTCAGAGAATGCTTTGTATTTTCTCAAAGAATGCAAAGTGTTCTCTGACTAGACGAGGTGGAGAGCGTGACGTCAATGTTCCACCTCATCCAATCAGAAAATACTTTGCATTCATTGAAAAAATACCTAGTATTGTCTAAATATTGACCAGGCCAAGTAGCTGACCTCCTGTATTCACAATGCAGCTGGGCAGCCACTCTGCACAGGACTCGTAAGCAAGTGGAGACCACTGGTGCAGCTGTGTCCTCTACAGTGATTTCCAGCTTCTAGAGGGATCCCACAGGTGTGGAATATGCAGAGTTACTTTGGTCCAAGCTGGAGCAGTGCAGCTATGCCATACCTGGAATTGTTTAAATTATTCATCTTTTCAGAAAAAATGAAAAGAACGAACACTGTACATTCTGTTTGCCCCCCCTCCCCAGGCCCTGCTGTACTTATCCCCACTCTTCTCCCTATTTTCTGTGCAGTGCTTCCAGGACAGGCCAGAGCGTTCTTGATTGGTCAGCGCTTGCACAGTGAATTTGGTTTATCCCAGAAGTGCTGCACAGAGAAGAGCGGGATTTTCAAATCTCTATGGTGGGCACCCAAGCTCCTGAGCTACTGTCCTGTAAGTCCATTCACACAAAGAGCTGCAGCTCAGGCTCGCCCCCTCTCTCTTCTCATTGGCTCACTGGCTGTGATTTAAAACCAGTGAGAAGGGAGAGCAGAACCCCTGGAGAGCCAAGGCTCTTGTGCACATCATTGGATCTCAATGGGGCTCAGGTAAGTGTTAGGGGGGCTGGGAGGGAGGCTGGCTGCTACACTCAGAAGGTTTTTTTACCTTCATCCATAGAATGCATGAAGGTTAAAAAAAACTGGAGCCTTTACAACTACTTTAAATCTGCTCCCATCCCCCTTCTAAACCCTATTCTATCTATGCTTGTGTATACTTTACCTATCTGAGAGTGATCTGGTCCGGTCACATGGTCAGCTGTGAGCGGTGGCTTCAGTGTAGAGGAGGGACAGCTGACAACGGGTGCCCCATAGTAAGTCGATGGGTGATGTCAGCGCCAAGGCTCCGCAACAATTTCCTGGCAGTCTCTCCTCTTCACTGAAGCTGGCCGCTGAAGAGATCATGTGACCACCCACAAGGAAGAAAAAATATATTTGAAATATATTTTAAAAATATTCTTCCCAAATATATTGACATATATTTGAAATGCTACAATTTTGACCGTATTCAATATATTTCAATAAATATATACACATATACTGCATGTTGAAATGTGTTTTTTATTACAAAATATATGAAAAATATAAAAAAAAAAATACATTTCAAATATGCTGTATGCCTTTAAAAATGTGAATCTAAATTTTTGAAATGAATTTACAAATATATGTAAAAAATATATGTTAAAATGACTTTTTTATATGTTAAAAAAAAATATGTATATATGTTTAAAACATTTTTTTAAAATATTTAAAATATATTCTTCAGATTTTTTTTTAACATATAAAAAAGTAATTTTAACATATATTTTTACATATAGTTGTAAATGCATTTCAAAAATGTAGATTTGTATTTTTAAAGACATACCGTATATTTGAAATGTATTTTAAAAAATATTTTTCATATATTTTGTAATAAAAAAACGCATTTCAACATGCAGAATATGTGTACCGTATTTTTTGCTCCATAAGATGCACCTGACCAAAAGACGCACCTAGGAAGAAAACAGGAAAAAAAATATTCTGAACCAATGGACTGCAGACCTAGTACAGGAGATGACCAGAGACTGCGGACACAGTACAGGAGATGACCAGAGACTGCGGACACAGTACAGGAGATGACCAGAGACTGCGGACACAGTACAGGAGATGACCAGAGACTGCGGACACAGTACAGGAGATGACCAGAGACTGCGGACACAGTACAGGAGATGACCAGAGACTGCGGACACAGTACAGGAGATGACCAGAGACTGCGGACACAGTACGGGGGATGACCAGAGACTGCGGACACAGTACGGGGGATGACCAGAGACTGCGGACACAGTACAGGAGATGACCAGAGACTGCGGACACAGTACAGGAGATGACCAGAGACTGCGGACACAGTACAGGAGATGACCAGAGACTGCGGACACAGTACGGGGGATGACCAGAGACTGCGGACACAGTACGGGGGATGACCAGAGACTGCGGACACAGTACGGGGGATGACCAGAGACTGCGGACACAGTACGGGGGATGACCAAAGACTGCGGACACAGTACGGGGGATGACCAAAGACTGCGGACACAGTACGGGGGATGACCAGAGACTGCGGACACAGTACGGGGGATGACCAGAGACTGCGGACACAGTACGGGGGATGACCAGAGACTGCGGACACAGTACGGGGGATGACCAGAGACTGCGGACACAGTACGGGGGATGACCAGAGACTGCGGACACAGTACGGGGGATGACCAGAGACTGCGGACACAGTACAGGGGATGACCAGAGACTGCGGACACAGTACAGGGGATGACCAGAGACTTCGGACACAGTACAGGGGATGACCAGATGCGGACACAGTACAGGGGATGACCAGAGACTGCGGACACAGTACAGGGGATGACCAGAGACTGCAGACACAGTACAGGGGATGACCAGAGACTGTGGACAGTACAGGAGATTAATTTGATAGGTACCCGCTCTTACTTCCACAGAGTTGTTCTTTGTGTAGTGTCCGCTCTGCAGCGGGACCTTACCTGTTCCTCTATCCAGCCCCGTGCTGTCTTCCCGGCTTCTGTAATGGCGCTCGGCTTGACAGCCGGGTGCCCAGTGCGCATTAGCGAGAAGCGCTGTGCTCTGTGATTGGTCCGGCGGCTTCTGGGACCTGTCATTTGTCCCAGGTGCCGCCTTACCATTCACAAAGCGCACCGCTTCTTGCGCATGCGCACTTGGCACCCGGCTGTCAAGCCCAGCGCCCACACTACAGAAGCCGGGAAGACAGCGCGGGGCTGGATAGAGGAACAGGTAAGGTCCCGCTGCAGAGCTGAGCGGCCGGCCCGGTATTCTGACACGGCGGCGGTGGAAATACCGGACCGGCCGCTCCATATTCGCTCCATAAGACACACTGACATTTTCCCCCTTTTTTGGGGGGAAAAAAGTGCATCTTATGCAGCGAAACATACGGTATATATTTATTGAAATATATTGAATATGGCCAAAATTGTAGCATTTCAAATATATGTCAATATATTTGGAAAGAGTATTTTTAAAATATATTTCAAATATATTTTTCTTCCATATGGGCAGACTTAATTGCTCTCAGGTAAGTATACAATCTTCCTTTCACAGGGTATATAGAATAGGGTTTAGAAGGGGGGTGGGTGGATATTTAGGCTTCCTTAGGAATAGGCTGAACTTCCACTTTAACTCCACTAGGAATAGACAATAGTTCCCTTTTTAACTAATAAGTCATCACCACAAGCCGACATGAGCCACAGTCGGGGCATCTAAAAACTCTAAACCGGCTGTACTGGTCCTTCCACTTTTACTCCAGTCACAGGAAAAGTCTGATTTCATCCTCTGTTTTCTTGTACTGTATTGTGATGACACTGGAATGTCCTGTCCATCCTGTTTCTTTGTTTTCATACAGGATGAGAACATGATCAACTTCATCAAAGGAGGGATGAAGGTTCGGAACAGCTACCTGATATATCGGTGAGACCTGGAAACGTGCTGATGGTTTCTGGTGGCATTTCCCAACCATCCATGGAATGGAACTAATAGGTCATGCTAGAAAGCCGTGTTCATTAGTTAAACTGGCCATACACCAGTAGATTTTCGAAACGAATGTTTTGTACGAACAATCTCATCCGTGAATTAGATTTCATGGAGAAAGTAGTTCAAAACTACTTGAGAAAGCATTTGCTTTTGACATTCACTTTTAGAAGAAATGGACTTTCCCGAATGAAAACCACATTCACTGTTAGACTTTTGTTTTTCATCCCACTGCTTTGAATTTTCTCATCATGCAATCAAAAACAAATGTTGATTTAACCCCCACGAAAGATTAGAAAATTGAATGAATGTTGCTAAAGCAAAATTCTACTAGTGTATGGCCAGCTTTAGGTATAACCATTTGTAATGACTGTTTTACCCGCATTAGTGTGAAGACATTGGGGAACCTTGCACTGTTGGGAAGGTGCAGGAAGGATCCTCATTCAAATGATAATAAAGGTTAATTGTTTGTTTTTTAAATTACAAACATGTCATACTTCCCTGCTCTTTGCAATGGTTTTGCACAGAACAGCCCTGATCCTCTTCTTTTTGGGTCCCCCGCCGGCGGTTCGTCCTGGCTCCTCCTGCCTGCTGACTGCCCCAAATAGCAAGCCTCTTGCTATTGGGGGCACTCGAGCAGGCTCGCTCCAGAGCCACGCTATGTGTGTCCATGCACACACGGAGTGTGGCTCAGCTCCGTCGCCCACTCTCTTCTCACTGGCTGTGAATGACAGCAGCAGGAGCCGATGGCTTCCACTACTGTGTGAGCCAATGAGGAGAGAGAGACCCAATGCTCTTCTTCCCCCTGCTGGCGCTCGTGGCTTCTCCCCCTTGACTAGCGCCCCCCAATAATAAGCTGCTTTTCTGTGCCTGGAGTTCAGCTTCACAGGTAGGACTGATAACAGTCACAAGGCACAATCACGAGATTTCTGACCCTATCAACAGCTATTTCATTGAATGGATGTAACAAACCAACTTTAATGGTTTTATATATATATATATATATATATATATATATATATATATTTGGGACTTTCTTTTGCTTTTGGTGATTACGGTCACAGGACAAATAGTAGGAGGATGGATCTTCCTAACAAGGATACAGGCAGCAATAAAAACCTGACAGAGATTCTAATCCACCACTCTATCCAAGAAAAAAAAAAGCTTTGCCTTTAGTTCTACTTTAACCAAGGACTCCAGAAATTTTGGATTGAAAACTTTATAGAGCTGAACCATTTTTTTTCCTTTCTACTTGACGATCGGGAGTTGGTGAATTTGAAGTATTTCTATGTATATTTGTATGTTTTTCTACTGTATGTTACCTATTTATATTTTAATTAGAAAGGAGAGCGTTCATGTGCCCAGTGTAAATCATATTCCTGTCTGGTTTCAGAGATCTGAACACTGTCATGCAGTCAAACGCCTTCCAGAAGGGCCAGTCCCATGCACATCTACAAGGTGGTGTATCTTTAGGTATTGGAGCGTTTAACCTGGTGAGTTTATGCTGAGAATATTTCTGTCAGTCCCTCTATAGGCATACACTTTCATTTCTTAAGGACTCCCCCCTGCATATGCATGCGTAGAGCTCCTCTTCAGGACTCTAGTGTATAGAGTGCAGCAGTCCAGACTCTGTTGTGTCCAACATACAATACAGAATCACAAGTGCAGGGGTCAGGAATGTTTCATATATAGCACAGTTTGCAGAGTGCATTGGTCAGGTGGAAGTGCCCCCATAGATGTTGCTGGGCAGAGGTATTTGTGTCCCCTACGGACACAGCTGATCACATGATATGGTAAAAGGCCAATCACAGCGGCCTTTTACCACGTGATCAGCCGTGTCCAATAACACGTTGATCACTGGGAAATGCAGTTGCCAGTTATCGGCTGCACTTTCCTCACGCTGTCATAGCGTCAGGAAAGTACTGCAGAGAACCGGCAGTTGTCAGAAGAGGGATCGGCACCGATCATCAGGGCACTGATGATCAGTGCCCTGATCGGTGCCCAGCAGTGCCACCCACCAGTGTTGCCCACCTTTGCCCAGCAGTGCCACCCACCTTTGCCCATCTGTACCACCCACTAGTGCAGCCCAGCAGTGCCATCCATCAGTGCCGCCAGTCAGTGCCCATTATCAGTGCCAGCTCATCAGTGCTGACTATCAGTGCCTCCTATCCGTGCCACCTCATCAGTGCCCAACAGTGCCGCCCATCAGTGCTGCCTATCCGTGCACATCAGTGAAGGAGAAAAATTGCCTGTTTGCAAAATTTTATAATAGAAACAAAGAAAAACTTTTTTTTCAAATTTTTTGCTTTTTTGTTTATAACACAAAAAATAAAATGCCCAGCAGCGAGTAAATACCACCAAAAGACAGCTCTATTTGTGTGAATAAAATGATAAAAATGTCATATAGATACAATGTTGCATGACCGCGCAATTGTCATTCAAAGTGCGACAGCGCTGAAAGTTGGCCTGGTAAGGAAGGGGTATAATTGCCTGGTAGGCAAGTGGTTAAATATTGCTTGTCAGTTGTCTCTGCCCCCATTGGTGGTCAGTTTGGAGTAGTATTCACTTACCTGTAGAATGCTGTAAAGGCCTTGTGCTGCTTCTGTTTTGGGTCTTTGTTCCATGACATCAGGCTGGAACTACACACCTCAGCATTATGGCTGCCCTCAAAGGGCAGATTGCATCTGTAATACTAGATGTCCAGATCACCCGCCCCCTTGCATTAGATGTCAAGAGCCCCATCAAAAATCAAGAGTGCCACATCCTCCTATGCATCGCAGTGTACCCCCTTTGCCTTGTGCTGCCACCAGGAAGAAGCTGGGGGTGGAGCTGGGTAGCAGAAAGTGCAGGGTCTGGAGGAGGACCAGAGGAGGGCTGGAGTCAACTGCCAGGAGTCTGTTGAATGCTGAGATGAGGGGGTGCTGCGGCTGCATAGAGAGGCTCAAGATCTGTAGGAGGAGTTCTGTCATCATCTCTGCTGCCAACCGCTGAGACAGAAAGAAGAGGGAGGCCGCAGAGAGAAGCCTGGGAAGTGCAGGATCTGGCGGAGGAGTTCTGTCCTTCTCTGCTGTAGACTGCTGAGATAAGTTGTGGGCAGAAATGAGGGAGTGCCACAGGGGAGAAGGCCACATGAAATGGCCTGGCGGGTCAGATTCAGCCTGTGGGCCTTGTGTTTGACACGTGTTCTAGACCATCTTCATGTATATGCCTGCTATCCCCAGGAGGAGGTGGAGGAGCTCACCAGAAGAACCTTGCTGCACATCACACAGGATCCGAATAAAGAGGAAGCCTTGGTACATATACTACACAGGGTACCCATACCCCCTCCACCCCAACACAAAATAAATTGGGTGGAGTGTACGTTATATGCCACATTCAAGAAATGTTTTTTCGCTGCAGTCTCTAGTCTTGTATCTGATCTCAAGTCTTTTTCTCTCTATGCTGCTTATGGACATAGGATGTTTTAAGGTAAATCTCAAATCTATGGACATTTGTTATCAAGCCATGGATATCTCGTGAGAATAATTTACTGTATATTTGGTATATTAAAGTGTATGTATATATATATATATAGGTAATTTTTGTAGTTGTGTTAACCACTTCCCGTCCAGCCCATGTATATAAACGGGCGGACGGTGGCAGTGCAGGGTCGGGTGGCCATTTATAAACGGCCTCCCCGCACCCTGCTTGTGCGCGCGCTCTCTGGGAGCATGCAGCACCGCGATCCGGTGCCCGCTGTGTCCTCTGGACACAGTGGAACACCGATAGTCGGACGGGAGCTCTGTGTGAGGTCCCGATCATGTGATCACTGATTGGCCAATCAGAGATCACATGCAGAGTAGTAAGCAAGATGTCACTTCTGACATCATTGGTTACTACGTATGAATTCTGTGAATGATCAGAGAGGTCACATGGTACAAGGCTATTCACAACAGCCTTGTATCATGTACAAAGCTGTGACCAATCACATCTCACACAGTAGTTCTCAATGGCTGCAAGAATGCAGCTAGAGAGGGGAAATGATTGCTTTTACAGCCTTTAAGGGTGTAAAAGCAATCAGTGTAAGAAAAAAAAAAAAAATCTTCATCACCTTACACTAGTGTCACCATGGTAACACTGTACTGCTAGGGTGACAGTATGTAAAAAAAAAAAAAAAAAAAAAAAAAACATAAATAAGAATATAAAAAAAGTAAAAAAAAAGTTTAAAAATTTATAATTTTTGGTTATAAACAAATTTGGGTTATTTTTTTTTTTTTTTACTAAAAAGATAACGGAATACATTTTGGCCCAGATTTATGATGAAATATTATTTATTTGCAAAATTTTATAAGAAAAAAACACTTTTTTCAAAATTTTTGGACTTATTCATTTACATAGCAAAAAAAAATAAAAATCCCAGTGGTGAATAAATACCACCAAAATAAAACTTTATCTGTCTCAAAAAAATGCTAAAAAATTCATATGGCTACAGTGTTGCATGACCGCGCAATTGTCATTTAAAGTGT